CTTGGAAACTTGCTCAGAAAATGCTTGAAAATGGGCAGAATAACCCTTGAACTCGTGTGAAATCCTTGATGCAAATCTATCTTGAACCAAAATTGTCTACCATGGCCACTTTGAAAAATCATAACTTCATGCTCAAGCAATATCTTTTCTTGCTCTTGGTACCACTGGCAAGAGGGGATCAAACACTAGAACTTTGATGTTGATCAGTTGAAAAGATTCAATTTGGATCATGGAGAAAAATGCTTACCAAAATTGAAGTTTTCACTGATTTATACTTAAAAATTATTCTAAGTATTGAACATTCCACATCTTGAAAAGTCTCAACTTGGAACAATCATATATTCCAATTGGTAAATCATTTTGAGTCCATTCTTTCACCAAATTGATGTGTTTAATACCACCTTTAAAATGAGTCTTCAAGTGTTCTTGTTGGATGCTTGAGGAAAAAGTTATGGCCTGGGAAAGTAGGGCAAAAAATCATGGAATTTCATAACTTAGAAAAAAAAAATCAAGAAACCCTAATTTTTCCAAATCATGATCTTTGGATGTTTTCTTTGATTTTCTTGATTTATCATGATCCAATTCACATATTTTCACGATCCTTGATTTGTGGAGTCCTTGTTTGACCAAAAATCTCAAAAGTCAAACTTGATTTTGACCACAATTGGCTTTTTATCAAATGAACTTAAATTCTTCCATTGCTTATGAATCAAACTTCTTGAATCAATCCAATTGTATGAATAGTCTAATATGATGCATTTGAGGTCCTTGAAACATGTATTGAGGTGTAGGATCATGATTACTCCAAAAGTCAAACTAAGACTGAATTTGGTGCATCTGATAACTTGGGGCTTGTTGATCTTGATTCAATGCAACCTTGAACTTGATTATTGATGAGAGAAGACCCTTGATCAATGTTGAATGGATTAGGGTTTGAAAGGTTGAGGATTCCACAATCCTTTAACTGGTCAATTTCTTGATCTTCTTGACATCAAAACCTTAACTTATGATCAGAGTAAAACCAAAACATATGATCTTGTGTTTTCAAAAAGGGTTAGTAATGCATAAAATGCACACACATAAGATGATTGATGTTATGCCAAAATGTGCAAATGAGATGGAATCTTAGGGTTAAAAATTAGCATGTGATAGTTATGCATAAACCATGCTCTGATACCAACTGAAGGTAAGAAAAATACACAAGAAGGGGGGTTGAATTGTGTTTTCCGTTTCTTACCTTTGCCTCTGATCAGAGTTCACAATTTAACATAGTGTTCAAATTCTGATTATACGTTATAGCAGAATGTTAACAAAAGCAAATAAAAGATAAATAATACACAAAAATTTATACTGGTTCCTCCCAAAAGAGAGTAGTTCAGTCCCCTTGCATCACAAAAGATTTTCACTATAACCAAAACATGATTACAATCACTTATGCACTTAAGCATAAGAATTTTCTTTGCTCAGACCCTCAGCCCGAGACTTCCTACTTAAACCCCTCAGGTCCAAGACTTCTGCTTAGGTTCCACAAACCCAAGACTTCTTTACTTAAGCCCCTCAGACTCAAGACTTCTACTTAGACCCTCGGTCCAAGAATTCCTGCTCAGATTCCACGAATCCAAGACTTCTGCTCAAGTCCCCTCAGGCCCAAGACTTCTGCTCAAACTCACAGTTTAATACTTTCTGCTCAATCAACAATTGATCAAGACTTTCAATGCTCTAACACATAGCATGAGACTTATTTGTCTCAAGCTTCATAGTAAGATGATTTGATACTCAAACACATAGCAAGAGACTTTATCTAAACTACTAAATAATTATGTTTAGTGTAATAGAGAACAAGGTGTACTTGATACAAAATTAGAGAGTGTTCTTCAGGTTATGATCCACTAGAAGCTAGTAACTTAGCACCTCTCAAATGTGTCCTTATATCATATTTTGAATGCCTTCTTTTCAAGCCTTAGAACCTGCATACTTGGAACACACATTAGATAACACCATTGTTCTTTTAATACTTTGTTACCATCAAAACCCAAAAGATATATGTCATGAAAGAATCTTGTTTTAACACAAGAAACAGAGGTACCCGAGTCACCAGAGGTACCTGAGGCACCAGTGCCACCCCAAGCACCAGAAACTGAGGGACCTCATGCAGATGAGCCAGTTCCACATCAGGATGATGAGGCTGGTGAGCTAGTTCCATATAAGACTGCTGAGGCTGATGAGCTAGTGTCGCCTTGGGTATTTGGAGGAGGCCTTATAGTGTTGTCAATGTTGCCTCTTTACCCGGACCATATTGCTAGACATATCAGAGACAAAGAGGTAAAATTAATTGGATTCATTCTTTTTAAATTATGTTTATTTTTATATTACAAATTTCTAACATGGATTTATTTTTCTGCAGGACCATAATCCGTTGAAAATCATTAACCAGGGGTGGAAGATTACTGGCTTGCCTCAGCCTAATGATGAGTGGTTTCAGGATGCTTTGTCCCTATTTGAGATGAAAGACTTATGCAAGACTGGTTATGTTACGGTCAACCACGGGATGCTTAATGCATTCGTGAAGAAATGGCACATTGAGACGTCCATATTTCATCTACCACTTAGTGAGATGTCTATCACACCCAACGATGTGTCGTATTTAGTACATCTTCCGATTAGGAGGAAACTTAATGACCATGGGAGGATTAGAAAAGATGAGACACTCGAGTTTATGGTAGACTATCTGGGAGTTGATATAGAGGTTGTCTTGCGGGAGATGAAAAAACCAAATGGGTTCATGCTAGGTTTGAATTCCTAATAAAAGATATAGACAAATGAACTTCTTAGAGCAGAGCAGGATAGAGGTGATGACAAACATGCAGGGTTGCATAGAGCGTATGTTATGCAAGTATACCTATTATATTTAGTTGGCACTGCCGTTTTTGTGGACAAGAGTGCCACTTATGTGGATGTCTTCTACCTGCGGTACTTCGAGGACTTCGAGCGAATCCATGTGTACAACTGGGGAGCTGCTTGTTTGGTCTACTTGTACTCTAAGTTATCATAGGGTTGTAGGTTGAAGACGAAGCAGGTGACAAGAAACATCACACTACTAACGGTAATATTTATTTGTCTTTTAGTGTTTGTGTGTCATTTTCATAACATTTTTGCAACGCCCTTACTAATGATTCGTGTGTTCTAACACTTTTCAGGCTTGGATGCTCTAGTACTTCCTTCACATCTCCGGATGGTCGTATGTATCGATCTATACTGAGGATATGTCATGTGCTTCTCTCTTGACCCTGCTCAAAGGGAACCATGCAATAAAGTCGTTTAAGTGTATCTTGACAACTTGGTTACCGAGGATATATACTTAACATCTATGCCGGCCATTGTGAGACGTGGTCATTTAACGACATAATGTTATACTCTGGATGGTTGGTTTGCAGTTGACGTCTCACATTTTCTCATCTGCCTGAGTGTGTCTTGCGGAAGTTCGGCTACACTCAGAGTATTCCTAGACACCTTGTTGTATCTGCTCCTCCTGCTATGACACGCACATATATGGATGTCATGTTTGATGATTATCTTAGTCATATGGTATCAGAGAAGGCACAAAGTGTCATAGCTGAGAGCGACTGAAGCTATGTCGACAGGTACATCAGGTGGTTCTTTAGGGTGTCACAGTTGTGTATGGTGCAGGCTGCTCTAGGATATCCATCGAGGTCATCTCATCATTAGATACTCGAGGAGGGGAAGACACAATTAGATCATGCTCATGATGTGTTGCCTAGAAGTCGTCGCATTGTGGAGATTGCACAGGCAGACATTGACAGAGGTATCTTTCTTGATGGTCCTATGGTGAGGCAGGTACTAGAACCATCAAGAGACACGAGAGACACTGATGTACTGGAGACACGAGAGACACTGATGTACTGGAGACAATGTCAGAGGACGGGGAGGAGGTCGAAGAGCTCTAGTCCGGCATACGCAGTAGTTGATAGTATTTGTACTTTGTATTTATTATCGATTGTATTTTATTTTTACTTATTTTGACTATATTTTGTATTTCGACTTCACTATGTATCAGCTGATGACTTATTTTGACCATCTTAACCATCTGAATTTATATATGTCATATTTTACATATCGAATGTATGGTTTAATGCTCATCACATAACAGGGGCTTTAATATTTGTAAATCTTCATTTTCATCTGAGTAACTATAAAACTAACTTAACTTACACTGTTTTGACTGTTTACATAGATGCATTTTCGTAAATCATAAACGGAGGTGCATCTCCGAATCAGTTAACATTTTGACTTAAGACAAAATATATTCAGAGATACATCTCCAAAATCTGAGAGACATTTTTGAATTTTTCATAAGATATTTTCCACCTCGTAAAATATGATAGAAAATTCTCAAACTTCACTTCTTCACCAATGCGTCTACAACATTTTATTCACTTTTTTCAAGTCCAACAAAACGTATTTATAACTTTCACAACAGTGCTCACAAAACACACTTATAAATTACTTTTTTTAATAATTTATAAAGTACTTAAATTTAATAAAAAGTATAACTTTTTACTCGTTTGTATAATTTTATAGTCCAAATTTATAATGACCCTTACAAATTCAATTATTGTGTGAAAAATAACCATTTATAAGTTTTATGTAAAGACTACATGATGAAAATTTTCAAATTATTTTGTATTCCTTTAAATCAAGGAAAAAAACTTTTATATTATAATAAAAAAAAACATGAAACTTTAATTATGTAAAAGTAAAACGACAAAGAGGCTCCGTGAGTAATGCTCATCTGCTCAATACGTACATACACATCTTCCCACACGAGGCATAGAAAACGGAATCAGATTTCATACAATGCATGAAGAACGATGTGAAATAAACTAATATTCACCGACAATATTCAAGGGAACAAGTCACTTTTCTCATTTTATGATAACTTAACCATTATAATAAAACCATCCAAATCCATTAATCAAACTCTAACATTCTGGAGTACGTGTATGATCTCTTGCATGATCACGACAATAATCATACACTAAGTAATGTTTTTGAACCCATTGCATTGCAACATTTTGCTGAGGGCTCAGGCTACCGCCATAGCCGGAAGGCGAGGCCGAAAGCGGCCGGCATGATGAGGAGATGGAATCAGTTCTACAACCTTGAAGTTTGAAGTCCTTGTATCTTCCAATGAAAGGTTGATAAGTATAATTTGCTTTGTATTTTCCATTCTCAGTAGCCCAAGAAGATGCATCCCATATTGATCCATACACATACATTGATCTTGAAGGGAATGTAACATCACTCTTCCTAGGATACTTTCTTATTGGAACATCATCCACCAAAAATCTGCATTTTTTTCATTGTAAGATATATAAAGTTTATAAACCATAAAGTAACATACAAAATATAGTGTATGAAAATATTACATGATCTCACTAGGTTTCCATAGAATAGCATAGTTGTGAAAATCTTGAGTTGGATTGAACCAAAGATGAAATCTCATCTCTCTTCCTATAATCTTTCCATCTCCACTTCCTCTTATATACACATTTGTCTGCAACACATATGGTTTATCTGGTGTTGTACCAAGAAACTCAATGTCTATTTCATCATGGTTTCCGGGATAGTCTTGGTTGTTTGAAAGCTACAATTCTCAAATGAAAACATGGTTATACATATAGTCAATTTTCAAAATGAATTCAAGATATAAGGTAATCCTCACATAGAAAGATGTAATGACTCCGGCCGTATAACCGGTTTGAAGCTTAACCGCAACACCAAAGTATCCAGATCGATAAGAATGAAGCGACTTGAATCCACTCCCTATGTTTCAAAAATTTGCAGCGCGTTAGTTGCAGAGACTAATTCCTCAAATTAAATAGAATCAGATGAGCGGAAAAGCCGGCTCATCTAAAATTTGAAGAATCATTTCATATACCTGAAGAAGAGTCAAGCCAGATTTTTAATGTTCCTTGGTCTTGTTTCTGATGCTGAGGTCCCCATAGGTTTCTAAATCCATGATCAAAGCTAGTAGGGCTTACTTTGGAGCTAGGGTAGTACCCTGGTGAAGGTGGACCCTCAGCATTATTACAACAAATCATGAATGAGAATAAAAGAGAGAAGAGAGGAAGCATATAGAGTGATGAAAGCATTGTGTAGTTTTTGAGAGCATGGAAAATTTGAGATAGAATGGTGGTTATGAAAGATTATGACTACATAGTTGTTGATATATAAAGAGATTTTGAGGACCCTATTGTACTATAATGGTGATAATTTGGTTCATTAGGGAGTTAACATGGCTACATTAGTTTTTTTCAAGAGAATGCCTCAAAGCTCAAATATCAGTCACCAAATATATCTCGACCTATGAGTAAGTGAGACTAACTCCTGACCAACTCAGCCAACCTTCCTTGGCTGTTTGTTCCTTTTTACTTTCATTGCTTCTTGAAATGGAACTTCCATTTTAAGTGGAACTATGATTTTTATCATACTTCAATTTTGGGAAAGAAAATATGAATGAGGAAAGATGCTCTTATTGTTTTGTTTGTGACATTGATTTGGTTACTTATACACATTATTGTTTTGGGAAGTTGTAAATCGATCTCTTGCTATTAGAGACAATTTTATTGGAAAAGTTACGTGTTAAAATTAGTTTAGTTGGAGTATTTTTAGGTAGTAGTTAGTTGTTTAAGACTAATTAACTTAATTAGAATTACTACATAAAAAGTATTATGTAATTATTGTAGTTAACTTTAATTTATTTATGTTGTGTATGTCCTAAAATCATTATCTTTGGTCACGCGCCGCCACACACGCGTAGCATTGGTTTGGTTATGTACTTTGCATATATTGGCAGCACTGTATTGAAATAGGGTTATATGGCTAGAAAATTACGTGGGAATCATTAGGACTAGTGGGTGAGAGAAGTGCTCTGCCTTTTAGACATAAATTGTTTTGGATCAAATTGGATAAACGAATTCGGTTGTGTTTGTTCCTCTTCCTCCTTTAAATTGTGCTTCGATTAGTTTGTATGATTGCTCTACATATTTGGGTTTTAGTATTGTTTGAAGTGATTTAGTTACTAGCTATGAAGCTACGGCACGTCATTCACACGGCATGTCGTCGTATCAGACATGTGTCTGATATTGATATGTGTATGACAGATATATGATATGATTTGTATTATTTTATTTTGACAAATTTATGTTTTTTATATTGAAAGTAATAAGTTTAAGTAAAAAAAAATTTTAATTAACATAAAATCACTGGTTGTCATTGTTATTTGGTCCACTATTGTGCTTGTTAATTTCAATAAGGTTTTGAATTATGCAAATAGAGGCTCCCACCTTGGAGAAATAAGATAAAATCTTTCTAGTGAGCATGATGAGTACCAAATGATACATCAAGAAGTTTTCAAGAGATAATGGTTTTGAGTTGTTAAAAGTGAATATGCAAACAATTTTGATTTAAAAATAGTGCAAAGATGTTTTAAAAAATGTGGTATAGATGTTGGCAAGCCTAACATAAGCAAAAAAAAAATTGTCATAATAAGTGAAGGAAAAAATGACATTATTTTTTTTTAGAGATATGTATGAAGTTTGAATCGTTGTATATGACCATTTATTTTTTCACGTGTTATGCTTAAAACAACAAATCTATTCATTTATAATGGCGGATCTTGATAAAAATATTAAGGGAAGCGATAAATATTAACTAAATTATTATAATTGAAATTGACTTAAAATTATAAAATTTAGATACAGTTTTTTTAAATATTCAAAATAACTTAAACAAAATAAAAAATATAATATATATAAAGAGATATCCAACCTTGATTTAAAGTACCGCCTTCTGTTCTTTTAAAGACTTGAACTCGTCAATAATTGAATCAATGGTGAAGTGTTCAGCTATTTCTTTTTCAATGTAAAGCATCATATTGTCAGCAAGAAATTCATCCTCCATCTTATTGCATAATCTTGTCTTGATTATCTTCATTGTTGATAATGATCTTTCTTTAGTAGCTGTAGAAACTAGAAGAGTTAAGATAAGACGGATAAGTCGATCAATCAAATAATATTTATCTGCCTTCCCTGCCTTTTTTAGAGATTCACACAATTCAGACATAGTTGACAAGTTATTTAAATCTGGATGACCAACAACATTAAGATGAAAGTGTTGAAGTTGATATCTCAAACTAATTTTCTCATGCTCACTAAAATCTGTAGGATATAATTTATCTACAAGAGCACATATATTATTTATATCAAATGCTTTGTAAATATCCTTAGGGACCAAAATATTTCTTAGGCTTAAAAGCTCCATTGTTTGCTCACAAAACCTATGATTCAATTCTTGCAGCTGTTGATCGATTGTAACACAAAAGAGATTCACTCTTAAATGTTGACCCACAATGATGTGATTCATTTGATGACGCGCACGACCTTCACGCTCTATGTAAACTGCATTACAATTAGGAGAATCAATATCATGTTTTTCACAAAATAATATTACATATTTCAACAGACCATCCCATCCATCTTCTCTTAACTTTTGAGTTAATATCTTTGTAGTCGTGACTAATTGCGTAGCCTTAAGTATATCTTGATTTTTTTTTGTAAAGCTTGACACAAACGATCTGTAATTCCCATAAGTTCTCTCATCATGTGCAAAATGAATGTGAACTCAAATGATTTCATAAAATTATAAGCAGCATTAGCATCCCCACGTGTAACATAACTTCTCTCATTCTTTCTAATATCTGCAAGAACCACACAAGTTGGATTATGCAAATCTATCATACTACAAACAGAAGAGAAATGTGAGCTCCAACGTGTATCTCCGGCTTGTTTCAAAGTACCAATCTGATTTTGTCTTTTACCGCTATCAAGCTCACCAATCTCTAGCAAATGTGAAATTTCCTCAAAAATGGCATTTTGAAACTCATCATGATGCTTATTAGAGGAACATACAACATTGACAGTATGAGTCAAGTGTGAAAAGAAATCATGAACAATAAAAACTTCTCTTGATGTAGCAACCAAAGCAAGTTGTAATCTATGTGATAAACAATGTATGTAATAAGCATAAGGATAATCCTTGATAAATAATGCTTGCAATCCATTCCACTCCCCTATCATATTACTAGTACCATCATACCCTTGCCCGCGAATATCTGAAACATTTAGACCATGTCGAGAAAGAACATCACAAATTGCATTTTTAAGAGTAATAGCCATAGTGTCGTTAACATGTACAGGCTCAAAAAATTGTTCTTGAATATACCCGTTTTTATCCATAAACCTCAAGATAATAGTTATTTATTCCCTCAAAGATTTATCACGTGATTCATCATCAATTATGCAAAATTTAGAATCCTCAATCTCTTCTCGAATATACCTTTTCACTTTACTAGACATGATATACAAAATTTCCTTTTGAATTGAATGAGAGGTATATTTTGAATTATATGGAGCATTCTCTTGTACTACTTTTTCAAGTTCATCATTGTATAAGGCTAAGAGTTTTACCATTTCAAGAAAGTTACCTCTACTTTTTTATCCAAGTGATTTGTCATGGCCTTTAAAGGAACAAGCTTGAAATGCAACCCAACAAATGGAATCAATAGAGCTCTTGAAACGAAGTCTATTTTGGATGACTTGATCAACACACTGCACATTAAGAACATTTCTGATATGAATTGATTGATTGAACAAGTCTTGAGAAGATTTAAAATCATTATTGTGAGGTGAACAATGACTGCCTCCAATATGATTAAGAAAAGCACATTTCTTTTCAGTATTGACCTTTCTCCATGTTTTAAATCCTTTTTTAGTAAACACATCAGCTCTGGGATGTCCACTAGGTTTTTTACTGAACAAGTAACAAAGTAAACAATAAGCAGCATCATTAGTTGGAGACTATTCTAGCCATTAAGGGAATATTCTAAACCAAGATGCTTGAAATCGTCTTGGATTTTTATCTCCATTAAGGGGATACTTTTCAACTTGGCATTGATATGGACCCCAATTAAGATAAGCTCTTCGAACTTCATCTCTTTGATTTATTAGATATTCCCAAATTTGGACATGTTTGTCGGGATCACGTTCTAAGCAATTAATATCAAATTCTTCTATGGTGACTTTTTTAATCTTGCGAGGTTGTTCATATTGTTGAACTTGAATTGTTTTTTCACCGGAAGGCTCCTCAAATATCGATGTTGAAGTTATATCATTTTCATCTTTATCAAAAGCTTTCCTTTTAAAAAATGCTTCAATTGTCTTATGTTTAACCATTATATAGCTCCTAAAAAATACACAAATAATCAATCACATTTTTCAAACTATCAATTACACCTAAATCTAATAAAATTATAAAGAAAACTAAATCTAAATTATAAATTATAATGTAATGTGAGAAAAAAAGTCCAATTACTAATCTTTATTTAAAATAGACATACAACTCTATTTATCTAGGGACCGATACAACTCAAATTTAGCATATGTTCAGCTCACCGAATAAGAAACTAATATGCAATCATAATCTGCATTTGCAAGTTATTATTGAAAATTGGAGATGAATCAGTGCTTGCTATTGAGTTTTTATAGTCTGGCTTAGACCATGTTTGGAGTTAATTATTAATTTATACATACATACAACAAGAAACCACTTATAGTCTTATAGAACATTGTGAGATATTTGATCGAACTCTAGTATGGTCGAAGGGTAGCTTCTGGTTCGACAGGATTAAGCATGAGGTCGAAGTTTGTTCGCATGCTGTTGTTGGAGTAATGCGTGTTGCAGTCGAAGTTTGTTCTAACATGCATTAGTCAATATTGCTAGAGTTGTTATCATGTTGAATTGGGTCTTACTTGTAAGTCTAATTGTTTAAGTTAGCTTGTAATGGGTAATTGTTAAAAAGCCCATTAGGTAAGTGTGTTATTTTTCTTATAAATAGGATGCTAGTTTCTCAATCTTGGCACAAGAAAAAATAGGAAGATTAAATCATAATTTCAAGAGAGAGAGGTTATTTTGTTATTCTTATATACTTGTAATCTTGTTTCTAAGAGTAAGGAAAGAATAGCAGTTTATAACTAATCCTTGTTGTTCCTTGTTGTTTTACCTTACTTTCTTTGTTAACCCTAACCCTTGTGTC